GGAAGAGCTCTTTGAAGCCAGCCAGGTCTTCCAGGGGTGGGGCCTTTCCCTTGGGTGTCCTTGGCCGCCTCTTACTTCCAGCTACATTTTCTGCAGGGTCTGGTTTCTGCTTTGGAGTTTCCTGAAACAATTTGATGCTTTTATCATCACCTGGTTCTCTGTGCATGGGCATAGTCTTCCCGGGTGTCTGTGTGAGTTTTCCGAGGGCCGAGGCATCTTCTACATCCGCATTCCAGGAAGGTGTCTTGAGCTGTGTGTTTGTCCTGGTGGGTGTGCCGACTGTTCCTGATCTGGGAGATTTATAGAGCATTTTTGTGGCTCTGTTCTCTGCATCCACTGCTTCCTTGGCATGAGCTGGGGTCTGTAGGAGACTTGGGATGTCCAGCTGGTCTTCCTCAGGCTGTGTCTCCTGCAAGCTCTCGAGGGCGGCCAGGTCTGCTGCTAGCTCACACCTCAGCTCTGAGGCTCTCCTTGGTCCCCTCACAGCTATCGTGTGTTTGGAATTCCCTTTTGACCCCATGTGCTCTGTCCGCGCTTCGCTCTCCTTCGCGTCTCCCTCCAGCTTCTGCTCTGGCTGTGGTGCTTTCCTTAGACATCTTCCCAAGACGTTCTCAAGAGCGTCAGGTTTTGGGCCTTCGTTTTTACACTCTACACCTGGTGCCTGTGAGCTTCTGAGCTCCATGGACCTTCTCAACTTCTTTGCACTTGATGTTGTCTTTGGTGTCATTGCCTCAGACACTGGAGTTTCCATCTCAGCACCTGCTGTTTTATACACGTTCCTGGGAGTTTTCGTAATACTTTCATCTATTTTAATTTTAATACTCTGGCGTCTTAAGGCAGGGCTTGCAGAACGTTGATCAGACAGCTCTTTAGGTGCATCTTGAGTCCCGGGGGACACATTCTGTCCTATAAGAAATTAAAACATGCATGATGAGTATATGCTGTGCACCGTGCACCAATGTGGTGTTTTAGCCTCACGAGGTATTTAAGAGCCAATAAACCAGCCTCCCATCCATCTCAGGATACGAGGCTGCCTACGTGGCCATAAATCTGCCTGACATGAACCACACACAATTAAGAACAATGTTTTTGGGTGACACAGAGTGGGGTCATGCATAGGCAGTGGTAAGGGTCTATGGGGATCGGATAAAAGAAAAACATTCCTTAGGCTGCCAGCCAGGTCTCAGTGAGCTGAACACACACATTTGTTTCATCAAACGTGAGAAACGGCTGTTTCATCTGCTGGACCACCAATGCAATAATATGGATTACACTTAGTGCGCTAAGGGGCCATGTTACACGGGAAACATCAATTCTTTAGCAACAGGAAGCATCTTGAGTGTAGCACACTGTCCCCTCTATGACAGAAACTCGGTGACCAGTGTAAATGAGAGAGAAACAGACTCACATCTCACTCTCACCCTGCGGCAGGTGCCCAACCAGAGATGAACAGGAGTGCCTGCGTGGTGCACACCTGCTGCCTTTCTCCTTGGTAATTGACAGCACTCTCACATTTGAGTAATTTACATATAAGTATGATGAGAGATCATTACACTTTCCTGCTTGTCAGCCTCTTTACTTATGCTAAATGAAGAAGGCCACGTGTACACCCGTAGTTTACGGTTAGTAAACAGGCGTATGCCTTTCCATGCAAGTCTCTGAAAGCCAGTGCTACTTCAGCTGCTGATAGAAACCTCCCCTAAGAACAATGGGACAGGGAAGCTGGACATGGTACTTTATCAGGAATATCTGTCGTAGCGAAATAATACAGTAGCTGTTGTGAAAAAAGACCATCTACAGTTTCCACTGAAAAGATCAAAGTGCCAGGGGAAAAAAAGGAAACCCACCAGAATTTTCTGAAGCACACAGCAGAGGTTTTCCTCCTGAATGAGGTACTGGAAGCTCTTCTCCAAGCAAATCCTCTGAATTTGAAAAAGTGGAGGGACACAGGCTCATCCTTTGTGGTTTCTCTTTCACTGGAGTCTTGAACATTTCAGGCAGCCCTGTTACATGAAAATAGTGGAAAAACAGTTAACAGACTGCTCATACCTGCAAATCAGCATGCCTGTCCTCACGTACAACAGAGGAGATGTCGGAAGGCAAACAACAGATCACTCCCTAGAACTTCTGGGAGACAGGGTCTCACAGGAGAGGTTGATGCATCAGCTGTGAACCCATATTTTGAAGAGGGCAATGGCAAGTTAGACTCATATATGGCCTCTTCTCTGGCCTTCCTCTTGGAAAGAATGTATGAAGGAAGTTGATGTCCACCCTCTTCTAGAGTGAACTCCAGCTGTGAGCATTGGCCAGAGGACAGAGGCTGCCCTCCAGGGTCCCTCTCCATGCATCCCCAAATCCAGGGCCCTCAGGCTCCTTCGATAAGTCCTAGGTTATGCACTACAAGAGTTTATGTACAAATAAAATGTCCAAATGTTAAAAGCGAGATAGGACTGCCCATTTTTAGTATGGTCAAGTACTAATATCACCATCTTTTCATTTTAACACCAAAAGGTAGTGCTAACATAATCTCAGAAAACAAACAAGCAAACCCATCCAGTTCGCTAAAGGGAAGACTTAAGTTTCTCAAACTCTCATTCTCCTCCTGTTTTCCTTACTTTTCTCATTCTGACATCAATGGACCAAAACAGACCAGCAGCCGACTCTCAGTCTGGCAGCCGTCTGCAAATTGTGTTCGGGAAGCCTGTTCTGAAGGCGCCCAAGCCAGGCAACTCACTTAAAAAGCTCATTCCTCCGCCACCGTTCAGGCCTTACTTAAAATATCCAAGATTTAATATTTCATCACATATTAATGTTTTGTCATAAAAGTACTCACACCGAGGGGTGGCCTTTGTTGAGTGTCTAGAAAAATGTTTTGAAGGAAGGCTGAAAAAATTTACCATCCCAGGTACTATTTAAACTTCTACTTATCTTATAAATATTTTTGAGAATTTGCCTTCAATGCTTCGTAACATATATAGTAGTACACTCAACACGTGTGCATAATTTACAAGCATACACAGATATCTGCGTATTGGGCGGTATAAGCTCAAATTGTTTTTTACTCATGGAGCATGCTATCAGAACTCTGGCTATCACTGTTCTACATTTTTATAGTTTGCTTTTAAAAAGCTAATAAATATGTTGATCCAAATGTGATTCTAATTGGAGGGTATCTTGCATAGGTTTTATAAGTGGTACAACAATTCTCCCATCTTAAAATCCGCCAGGAAATAAAAACTAGGTTCCACCTAATGGATTCAAGTGTCACCTCCCTCCATAGGTGCTCAGAATGGAAACCACTGGTCAAACGACATAGCAGAAAATCCCAAACCCAGGGTCCTGCCGTGGTTCTAATCCAGGACAAGTGTCAGCAGCTCACATCACACTTTTACTGAAAATAGCAATACTGGCTCAACTATGAATGGCTCAGAGAAGCCTGTTTCATGAACCAGCTAAGCTACATGGAAGGAAAAGAAACCTTGAAGCAAAACATCACTCAAACCAATTGCTCCGACTCTGGCAATTATAAGAGCAAGGCTGCTTTTTCACCATAAAGCCGCTGCCAACGTCGTATACCCGTGCTGCTCTCCCAGGTAAAGATGTGCATTTCCTGCCATACCTGCTTCCTAGAGGCCACGTGACTCCAAATCGTCAGGGACCTGGCCTTGTTCTCCAGTCCAGCACCCTGTTCCTTGAATATCATGACCCTCCGAGTTGACTGGATTGTTTATCCTCCTGTCCCATGCACAGCAGATAAACAAACGTGACACCCACCCATGTGGACCCACGCAGGAGGATGAAAGCGTTCTGGTTCCTGAGAGCCATGGCTATGCTTTTACCTGAAAGATCTTCACTAAAGTCCATTGGTTTGTTGACCACGAAGTTGTTCAGCATCCTGTAGGGCCGAGCTGGCCCGTTCCCTTTCTCGATGTGAGCTTTCCCTATTATTATGGTACAGGGGGAGTTTGCGTGGCCTGTGCTAAATTGATTGTGAACGATGCCAGTCAGCTTCTGGAAAACAATCAGGACGTCAATAAAGCGGCAAAGCCTCAACCACACTTAACGTATCCCTTAACCGTATTATGTATCAAAGAGCAATGCACATTGGAAGACCTACCTTTGGGGTATTATTGGTTCTTCTTTGCCTCTTGCTCAGGGGTCGTGGAGGTCCACGTTGAACAGCTCTGGTCTGGGTCTGCTTGGTGCCCAGTTTTACCACGTCTGCCCACGATTTTGCCACTGTCACAAGGAAAAGATGTTGAGACTTCAAAAGGGGCACTAACGAGAAAATCAAAACCTATCTGCTGATACAACACTAACCAACTAAATTGGCCTCAGAAGCGCCACTCCTTCTCTTGGAATAAATCATCTGTAAGATGCCATGCTGGTTTCGATCCACGGAAGCTCTCTTGGAGGGCAGGTTGCTACTTTTTCTCCGTCCTCTCTTGGGAATATCTGTCTGATGTGGAGATTTGCTGTCGCTGGAGATGGAAGACGCCTTGGATAAGCTACGGCATCGGCCGGGCGCATCTGGAGAAGCGGGAGCAGCGTTAGGAGCTGGAGGCCTCACAAACGCATCCTGTGCAGTCGCCTCCAGACAGACTTCTGAAGAATCTTCTTTCCCTGACGGCTGAGGCTGCTCCTGACAAGATTTAAATGTGCGTAAGAAACCTCACCACAAATATAAGAAACCTCACCACAAATATAACTTCTCTGTAGGCTCAAGATGACGGAGTAGGAAGTGTGCTCAATCCCTCTTGTGCGAGCACTGGAATCACAACTAACTGCTGAACAATCATCGACAGGAAGATACTGGAACTCACCAAAAAAGACACCCCACATCCAAAGACAAAGGAGAAGCCACAGTGAGACGGTAGGAGGGGTGCAATCACAATAAAATCAAATCCCATAACCGCTGGGTGGGTGACTCACAAACTGGACAACACTAATACCACAGAAGTCCACCAACTGGAGTGAAGGTTCTGAGCCCCACATCAGGCTTCCCAACCTGAGGGTCCAGCAACGGGAGGAGGAATTCCCAGAGAATCAGACTTTGAAGGCTAGCAGGAGTTGATTGCAGGACTTCAACAGGACTGGGGGAAACAGAGACTCCACTCTTGGAGGGCACACACAAAGTACTGTGTGCATCGGGACCCAGGGGAAGGAGCAGTGACCCCATAGGAGACTGAACCAGACCTACCTGCTGGTGTTGGAGGGTCTCCTGCAGAGGGGGGTGGGGGGGGTGGCTGTGGTTCACCAAGGGACAAGGACACTGGGAGCAGAAGTTCTGCGAAGTACTCCTTGGCGTGAGCCCTCCCAGAGTCCCCTATTAGCCGCACCAAAGAGCCGGGTAGGTTCCAGTGTTGGGTCGCCTCAGGCCAAACAACCAGCAGGGAGGGAACCCAGCCCCACCCATCAGCAGACAATCGGATTAAAGTTTTACTGAGCTCTGCCCACCAGAGCAACAGTCAGATCTACCCACCACCAGTCCCTCCCATCAGGAAGCTTGCACAAGCCTCTCAGACAGCCTCATCCACCAGAAGGCAGACAGCAGAAGCAAGAAGAACTACCATCCTGCAGCCTGTGGAACTAAAACCACATTCACAGAAAGAGAGACAAGATGAAAAGGCAGAGGGCTACGTACCAGATGAAGGAACAAGATAAAACCCCAGGAAAACAACTAAATGAAGTGGAGATAGGCAACCTTCCAGAAAAGGAATTCAGAATAATGATAGTGAAGATGATCCAGGACCTGGGAAAAAGAATGGAGGCAAAGATTGAGAAGATGCAAGAAATATTTAACAAAGACCTAGAAGAATTAAAGAACAAACAAACAGAGATGAACAATACAATAACTGAAATGAAAAATACACTTGAAGGAATCAATAGCAGAATAACTGAGGCAGAAGAACAGATAAGTGACCTGGAAGACAGAATGGTGGAATTCACTGCTGCAGAGCAGAATAAAGAAGAAAATATGAAAAGAAATGAAGACAGCCTAAGAGACCTCTGGGACAGCATTAAACGGGACAACATTAAACACAACAACATTCGCACTATAGGGGTCCCAGAAGGAGAAGAGAGAGAGAAAGGAACAGAGAAAATATTTGAAGAAATTATAGTCGAAAACTTCCCTAACATGGAAAGGAAATAGCCACCCAAGTCCAGGAAGCAGAGTCCCATACAGGATAAACCCAAGGAGAAACACACAGAGACACATAGTAATCAAACTGGCAAAAATTAAAGACAAAGAAAAATTACTGAAAGCAACAAGGGAAAAACGACAAATAACATACAAGGGAACTCCCATAAGGTTAACAGCTGATTTCTCAGCAGAAACTCTGCAAGCCAGAAGGGAGTGGCATGATATATTTAAAGTGATGAAAGGGAAGAAACTACAACCAAGATTACTCTACTTGGCAAGGATCTTATCTGGATTCGACAGAGAAATCAAAAGCTTTAAAGACAAGCAAAAGCTAAGAGAATTCAGCACCACCAGGCTTTCTATTTATTTTATATTGGAGTATAGGTGATTAACGATGTTGCGTTAGTTTCAGGTGTACAGCAGAGTCATTCAGTTATACATATACATGTATCTATTCTTTTCCAAATTCTTTTCCCATTTAGGTTATTACAGAATATTGAACAGAGTTCCCTGTGCTATACAGCAGGTCCTTGTTGGTTATCTATTTTAAATATAGCCGTGTGTACGTGTCAATCCCAAACTGTTTAAATCTGGAAGCACCAAACGTTTCAACCAGTGTCTGTCAAGTATATGGTAGAGATGGGAGTCTACGTCTCTCACTTAAAAAAAAAAAAAAAAAAAAGTGGCGGGCGGGGGGAAGAAAGCACCGAACAAATCTTAATTGGGGTATTTCAGGTGGAAAGATGAAAGGAACTTCCTCATGAGTGAGGCTCTTATCTAAGTCCAAGGAAACACCGTCCATGGGAATTTAACCACCTTTGATCTGCATGGAAAGACAGCCACTCACTTCCGGGAGCCCATATAAAAGGGAAGGAAAGGAGACATACTTCACACGTCTGTTAGTGTGAAAGGAAATTAAAGGCTTCCCAGGCCCTCTGATGAAGGCGAGCTGTGGGCCAACACCTTTCTAGAGATCTAAGGTCACAGCCTAGGGTAGGTGATGAAAAATTGTAAAGAGCTGATGATGAAAATCATGGGTGCTGCCATCCAAGATTTTTCTTTTCACCTTGTAATCCTAAAAGGGAAAAACACCAGAACCTTATGGTTCTGTGTCGTGATGCCTCCAGATTCTTTCCAAATGTATTGACTATAACCCTAGCATGACCACCTGGTCCTGCAAGTGTGGTCAGCAGGAGGCCTCTGCAGAGGAGGAAAGTCCTGAGGACCCACCTGTGCTCAGTCACCCTCGGGCCATGGTTAGGAACCCAGGTGCTCAGTTCCCAACACCCACATGAATGAGCTCTCACAGAGACTTTTATATTTTTACTTTGTTATTAGAAAGAAAAAGGTGTTCATTGTCATTCTACTAGTGTGAGGGGTTGGAAAGAATATGGACCAAGGATGTGTGCTATCATCAGATCCGAAGCGGGGACCAGTGGGTAAACTCACCTTGATGATTTTCTTCAGGACGGTTGGCGTGTGGGTGACCAGAGACCTTCTTTGCTTTGGTGTCTCTCCTCTTTTGAGAGGTGTGTTGGGAGGTAAGTTTTCATCGAATAATTCAGGTCTCAGGCGACCACCAAAGGAGACCCGCCTCCTCTTCAGGGACACCCCATCCATCTTATCTAGAGGAACGGGTACAGACGTGGAGAGGGCAAAGGAGAACAGTACCATAGGTGTGACTTGTTTCCATTTACCATTGAAGACAAACTTACTGTAAATTCACTGAAACCTGGCACCTCACACACCTTTACTCTCTTGTGATGTTGACGAAGGTGATGCTGCTTCAAGAGCTCAGGAAAGATCCAGGACAAACCACTAAATGCCAAGTCCCAACCTGACAGGACAAGGACTTTCTTTAAACATTGACAAGTCCTATGCGGACAGAGCTTAATAAAGGGAGTGGCCTGGAGCAGTGGCTCCCACTTCGGAGCAGGGGGATGAAGAGGATGAGGCGTCAGCAGTGGCCTGAGAAAGCTTTTCCAAGAGACCCACACTTGGGTCTCAGACCTACCCAGCGAGTAGAATTCGAGCTGGAAACCTCTCCTGGTGATATTGACAGATGGGCAATTCACGCGTCCCAAGCCCCACTATCCATCTTTGTGAACCACTTGTCAACATAAACCCTTGCCTGAGTGAGGCGCCCCGTTTGTAAGACTTGTGGGGACTCCGTGACTGATGTGCGTGGGTCTGCTTTCAGAGCCGCACACCCCTGCCCTGGGGGCTCCCTGCAGAAGCAGAGCTGACGGCAGGGCACAGCATCGGAACACCTGGGGGCCCCCGAGGAGCGTGGGAGGCCCTGGAGCTGCCACGCCTGCTCCACGGGTCACATCTCTGCCACCCATGGGGTGCCATTAGGTTACTGGTTTCCCCGTTTGCAAAAGGAAGATCCAAAACTCCTGTCCCGTGGGCCCTCCTGCTGCCAGAAGAGAGGATGGGGAATGAGTGTCTGAAAGGCACGTAGAAGAGCACCTGGCACGTAGACCCATGGGGATGGGGCAGGTGTGTTTTAAGAGCCACCCCACATGAAAAGAGTTCCAAGGGATTTCCACTGACTTATTCTAGAGGATCAAACTCATAGGATAAAAGAGCTTATAGTTCAGAATTAAACTCCTGTGAAAAGCAATTATGCTTATGCTTATTCTCCTTTGTTCTGTGGTAGACAGAAGAATCAGATATGCTTTGGGACCAGCTTATCTCCTTAGACCCCTGCTAATTCTCCCCTAATAACCAGCACTGCTCTGGTTGGTTGGTTATCTGGGTCCTCATGCAAATCTATGAGTAGATGATGAATATGGGCCTTTATGTGCCTCACAGAGCTAATCATTCGTGAATGAAGGAAGGTCCCACTAATTCATACCTAGACATAAGGTAGGAGTAAACCTGGGGGGGGATAAATTTACAGTTAAATAAACTTACTCGTGGAATCGCCGAAGCTGCTGCCATCAGCCGAGCTAAGACCGGGTAACCCAGGGCTCACCGGATCCGCTGCCGTGCCCAGCGTCTCAGGCTTGTTGAGAAAATCGCTTTGAATCTTCCTTTCAACTTGAGGGACCAATGGAGCTGAAATTGTCTGATGCAGAATCTCTGTTTCTGTTGTCAGATCGTCAACATTTGTAGGATTCCTCTTCCTCTTTCCGGGGCAAAATTTTTCTGGTGTATTTCCAAAACTCTCAACTTTAACGGGCGTTTGAATACTAGGTAAGAACTTCCGAGGAGGAAACGTTTTAATATCTGCCCTGGAGCCTTCACTTTGATCGAGGTTCAGGGACGCACCACCATTGACAACACTCAGGTCTTTACTCCGCCCACTCCGTGAGGGACTTTGTTGTGAATATGGTTCGGGGGTCGTGGTTTGCAGCGTCTCTATCTCTGTGCAGAGGCTGCTGGGACTCCTGGTCTCCTTGGGCGTCTGAAATGGCTCATCACTCCTCTTCCCCTCAGTCTGGCTACTTCCTTGTTCTCCTGAAGCAGGGTCTGCCTTAATTTGGGGGCTTTGGCCCGATTTGGGTCTGGATTTAAGTGAGACCAGAGTCTCGCTCTGTAAACCACCAGTGCTTTCTTTTTCTGGTGTGCAATGACTCTGTGATCCTGATTTTCTGCGATTCTGAAGAGCATTGACTTTTCCTGATTTCACATCTAACTCCACCTTCATTGACTCATAAAGCTTCCTAAAGGGAGACTCATTTTGGTCACTCTCCTTAAGACACTTTCTAGAGGAAAAAGCCTTCAGTTCTCCATTACTGATCCCGAATCTTACACCGGAACCTTCTTGAGAATCCCCAGCAGTGGGAGCTGTTGCATTTCTGCCGTTATCTCCAGGACGTTCTGAGGAATGAACGCTGTTAGGTGTCTTCCCAGCAACAGGATCTTCTGAGCCACCTGAGACAATACCAGCCCCTGTGACATTCTTCCCATGCACCACAGGCCTTCCGGAAGCAGCGTCTTCCGTGAATTTTGAACGGGCACTGGAATCTTGAACTTTTCCATCTTGACAATGAGTTATGAAATAGGAAGCAGAAATTCGAGATTTTCTCAATGATTAACATGGGCAATATTCACATTTTAAAATTATTTCAAATTGTCTTAAAAACCTAGCTTTCCACTTAGCCTACAAATTTCTTAATGTCCAGAATGTATTCTAATGGTGTTCTGGTACTAGTTCCATGATGAAAATAAATAAATCACTTTAGCCTCCTATACCTCCTATAACCAACAGGAGACATCCAATGCTATCAATCTGCTCAGAATTAGGGGCAACAACTGAGCATGACAGTTCGTCTCTACATGGACCCTCCAACAAGCATATGGCACCCATACATCACTTGTGAGAAAAGTTAACTCACGTGTCTGCCTATGTCTGTCCCTTCCTTGCCACAAAGCTACATAGAGAACAGATCTTACAGGATCCCAGACAAAACCAAAAATCTACTAACCAAGGTTGGAAGGGAAGCTAGATCTTGAGACCCGACGCGAAGGCTCCTGTGAATTGGCAGATAAGAACAGCAATTTAGATGCCTTTTCAAATACCGACAGTCACATTTACTAAAATGTTCTTCCTTTGATGACCTTCTCTACCCAACTGTTCTTAGAGAACTTTCAGCGACTTTGAGAAACGAGCCCAAGACATTCGGCTGGTACTCATAACACAAGCATTTCTCAGTTGATTTTTTAAAAATATAGTAATAGAATAAGAAACAAACTTGAAGATTAAAATTGCTTAAATTGAACGGCAGTGACTTTTTATAACTTCCTTGAACTTCTATGAAAGAAGAATCAAAGCTAAAAGTAAACATCATCCACTCAGTATCTGGGAACCTACCAAGGGCACAGAATTATTGACTTTACACTGTTTTATCAGAAGTTGGCTAAAGGGCCCGTGGGTGAAGTGGGGCTCCACTTAGCATGTGTGCTCATTGCTGGCAGGTACTAAGGGTTTATCTGAAAGCCCAGAAGTTAAGGCAAAAGCGAAAACAATGCACCCAGAGGCCCTGTACCCTCAGAGCACGGGGCTGGGGTGCAGCCCTCCTGCTGGGCCACCTTCACATTCCTTCCCAGGCAGCTTTTTAGAGGGTAAGGAACAACTACAGAATAACACAGATGTAAGATATAAAAGTCCAATATTGTTTCAAAGGAGGAAAAATAATATCCTCTGAATTATTAGGGGTGGAAATCACAAAATATATCCAAAGGCAAATACTTTAACTTCTTTCTTTAATCAATTTCCGATATCTTGGTATTGAATACGCTGCTTCTCAAACTTCCCATGTGAGGGCTCGGTTTCTAACTTCCAATCTGAGGTTGACAAAAGGAATCATATGACTGAACAATAAAAATGAATTAAAATTTAAAACTGTGTGCAAAATACAAGCCCATATTTTTTGTACTATAATATCCAATAGCCATAAAAATCACTGTCAAATAACATGTTCTAAGTATTCAACTTCAATATTTACTTTATCACAATCCAGATAACGAACAGGTCATAGACCACTGGGACCTCTTATCTAACCCATAGTCCAGCTTTTTGGTTGGTTTCCTTATACCTACTAACAAGTTAGAAGCGGCGTTGGTTGGTGGGTGGGATACTTCAAAAGCTAGCTTTCCCCCAAAGCTGATGAGCAGGGTTGACATTAAAGTTAGTCCTCTGGGGAAGCAAGGGCACATGGCAGGAGCAGGGGACTTCAAATGCAGAGCCCACTGCTGATTTTAGGAGTATCTGTGCTAAGACTCTTAAGCCAGGGAATTCCAACCTGGTCAGAAGAGAATAGCTTGAGTAGCTTCATAAAAAGTAAGAAGGATAGGAAGTCTCAGGAGTAACCCAGAACCTTCTAAGTCCTGCTAAATCTCCCAGGATGGGCCCAGACTGCATTTTAATAAGGTGGGCCGTTTGGAATACGTTTTCTCCACTGATAGACACAGGGCAGTAACTCTCCTCCAGTGTCGTGGGTCATGTCTGTCAAAACTGGGAAGCATCATTGGTACCTACAGCTCTGATGTGATTATTCTGGATGAATAAAGACCAATGAGTACAATGGGACATAAAATGAGCCTCCAGATCGAGTGGTTCTGGAATCTGAGTTCTGCGTCAGGGTTGCCCTAACCAAAGGTTTGCAAAACCATATTGCGAGTTACTTTAGGAGACTTTGGGCCCAAAGTGTAACACCTAGTACTCTCGTTTTGAATAAAAGAGGAAGGATAGTTTAAATTATCTTAATATATCTAAGTTCACCTTGTTTTACTACCTTAGCGACATTTTCCTACTATAACTGGTAAGTCGTTCTCCCTTGTGAGAAATCAGTGTCAAAGTGCATATAAATGACTTCATATCATCATGCAAAAGAATCAGAGCCCAAAGTTCCATAATATCCCCCCATCACCTGTTCCCATCTTTGTCCTGGAAATGCAGGTGACTTGCTTCCATTCTGATGACTTTCATTTTCATACCTGAAGTGCACAGAATGACAGGCACATGTTCAGATTAAAGATTTGTAACCAATGATAAAACTTCCACATCTGACTAATGTCCAAGGAGCAAGGAACAAAGATCAGGTTTTACTCAAGGTATTACCTTATTCATGGAAAGAAATCAGGAAAGTGTTTTTATGCTAAAAACTTAGGTAAATTGGTTTCTTCTGGAACACCACGGTCAGAGGTTGGGGCCAGATTAAATTTCGGAACCCTGACTAGTCTGTAAGATTCAACAACTTCCCTGAGCGCCTCCTGTGTTGGAACCAAGAGAGCAAAACCTGGTGTCTGCTCGTTTTTGTTCGTGGGAATCATCTGATGGCTTGGAAGGCCAGCCAAGAAGCTGGGTGGCATCTGACACCTTTATCACTCTGTGATGTCATTCACCACAGGTAACCACAGAGCTCTACTTTAAGATCACTAGGATATTTTCAGCTTCCCACTTACTCCATGTGTATCTGAACAAAGACAGGCACATTTTTGGAAGATGCAAAGATATTTAGCAAGAGACATGGTTGTTCTAACAGACCTCAGGTATCCATTCACAGAAACTTTTATAACACATACTGAACTCTGGTACCTCGGTGAGACAGCCTGTTTCGAATTTAGATGCCATCTACGTAAGCTCTGAAGCAGCCAGTCGTCTGGAACTGTTTCTCATGGTACCAGAGTTCTGAATCAAGCCCTTCTTCCTATGACCCATGTCCTAGTCTTTGTTGGAGGTATTTTGTCATCTCAACTAATCTTAATTTGAGCAGCATCTCATTTGGGGGACATACTTCTGCTCTCCATTCCTCATCAAATATTTCCTGCCTAGAAATAATATTTATTTCTCTATCTAATAAAAAATACCCTTTAAAAATGAAGGCAAATTCACAAAAAGCACAGAAAAAGAAACGACCAGGATATTCAAATTAGAAAATATCTATTTAATACAAATGAAGGCAGTAATGGAGTTCCATTGGCAGAATGGATGACAAAAGCGATCCAACTACATCTGCCTACGAGAGACACAATTTAGAGTCAAAGACACAAATAGAATGAAAGGATAATGATGGGAAAAGATACACCATGCAAACAGGAACCAGAAGAGAGGTGGAGAGGCTGTACCAATACCAGACAAAATAGACTGTAAGATAAAAATTATTCACAGAGACACTGCACATTTTATAATGATAAAAGGGTCAATCCGTCAAGATCAACCAGTTATAGACAAAAGTGCACCTAACAGCTGGTTCCAAAAGGTCATCTAAACCTTAAGGATTATGAAAGTTGAAAGCAATGTGATTAGAAAAAAACAACAAAAAAACTATAGTATGAAATCTCTCATCAAAAGCATTACTAAGGGCTTCCCTGGTGGCGCCGTGGTTGAGAGTCCGCCTGCCGATGCAGGGGACGCGGGTTCGTGCCCCGGTCCGGGAAGATCCCACATGCCGCGGAGCGGCTGGGCCTCTGAGCCATGGCCACTGAGCCTGTGCGTCTGGAGCCTGTGCTCCGCAGCAGGAGAGGCCACAACAGTGAGAGGCCCGCGTCCAGCACACACACAAAAAAAGCATTACTAAACATACAGGACATTTCAGAATGATACATGATACAGCTTCATCCACACCAAGAGGAGATAATTCTTAATTTAAACCCATAGTATGGCCTCAAAATATCGGACGCAAAACACTGACAAAGGTAAAAAACAAAAAGAAAAAAAAAACTTCAATGCGTGATTTCAGCTTACCTGTCCAGGTAACTAAGAATCAGGGGAAAATTTTACTAGGATTCTAGAGTCAGGAATTAGAATCTGATGGACCTACACAGATAGAGCACTCCACGCAGCAGCTGTGGAACACACATTTTTTCCAAACACCGAGGACAGATTAGTAAAAATGTAACCATATCTGATCATAAAAAGCAAGCTCTGACTCATTTCAGAAACTGGAAATTACTCAAATGTCCATCCAGAATGAATTAATTGTGTATGTAACTGTGGATCTTATTTCAGTGAAATCCTTAAGCAGCGAGAGGAACAAACTGGGATGAATCCATCCATCCCAATCCAGGCTATGAATCCCACAACCGTAAAAGCAGAACTCAGTTACTACTTTATGGAGTTTGATAAAGGCAGACAAAACCATAGCAGTTAGAGATGCATGCTTAGTAGTAGAACTCTAAAGACTTTCATGCTATCAGAAAAGCCACATTAGTGGTTTACTTGGTGCGGGGAAGAAGTAATGATTAGAAGATGCATGAAAGAAACTTCTGGAAATGCTGTTTATGACTTGGGTGGTGTATTAGTTCTATAACAAAATGTCACACCCTGGGTGGCTTAAACAAGAGAAATTTATTTTCTCACAGTTCCAGAGGCTGGAAGTCCAAGATCAAGTTGTCGGCAGGGCTGGCTTCCTTGGGGCCTCTCTCCTGGGCTCTGGCCGCCCTCTGCTGCCGCTTGGCACAGTCATCACTCTGAACACCTCCTTCCCTGGCTTCTGTGTCCTAATCTCCTCTTCTTATAAGGACACCACTCGGATTGAATTAGGACCCAGCCTAATGGCCTCATTTTAACTTAATCATCTCTTTCAAGGTCCTATTTCCAAAGACAGCCACATTCCGGGGAGCTGGGGGCGGGGGTCAGGACTTCAACTTGGGAATTTAGGGAGAGCACAGTTCGGTCCGTGACGGGCGATTATCACAAGGCTGCTCACTTCATGGTAAGCTGGGTCATACATCTCGTTTTGTAACTTTCTCTATGAGTGTATTTTACTTTAAAATAAAAAAAATAAAATGAATGCAGTTTCACAACACTTGCAACCAAATGAACCTCCTTTGGGGCCTGGCCACCTTGGCATAGTTACGTGCTCTCTAATCTTTGAGCTGGAGCACACAATAAACCTCACCTGCCATTCCTTCTAGATCCGTATGAGTTTAGATAAAGACTGTGTTGCGAATGGCAACCTCAAACATGTTGACATTCACCCGCATTACAGAAGGATCACTGATGGACTGTGAGGCTAGTTTTTGGTGGATCAGAAGGTCTATTTCTTTTTAGCCCATTTCTTACCTACCTGAAAGACCGATCAACAACAGTTATCACGTCTCCATGTTTTAGCTGTACAGGTTTATCAAAAGTAGATCCATTTACTCGTGTTGGATTTGTGGAACTGAAATTAAACAATATTGCCTACAAGTAGAAAAGAGAGGAAACCATGTAAACTAATAAATGGATAAAAAGTGAAAAGTTTTAAAAAACAGACTTCCAAAAACCCGCTCACCTCCTGTCCATTGATTTCAATTTTGCAGTGTTGTTTGGACACTACGGGAAGCTGTATACGAATGTCACACTCGATACTCCTTAATTCAAAAGAATAAAGACTTTTTAGGTTGCTGCAATTTAAAAAACTTACATCAGTGATTCAAAATAAAACAGCATCTGACACTATGTTTGTTTTTTTTTTTTTTTTTTTTGCGGTACGCGGGCCTATCACTGTTGTGGCCTCTCCTGCTGCGGAGCACAGGCTCCGGACGCGCAGGCTCAGCAGCCATGGCCCACGGGCCCAGCCGCTCCGCGGCATGTGGGATCCTCCCATACCGGGGCACGAACCCGTGTCCCCTGCATCGGCAGGCGGACTCTCAACCACGGCGCCACCAGGGAAGCCCCTGACACTATGTTTGATCTGTAAATGTAATGACATAAAGGAAAGACAAACTGGGCAATGTAAATGATCTTTGCATTTTGCCCCCAATTTTTATAAGTATTGTATAAGCAACTATTTTAAATCATTAAAACTTAAGAGTACTTAAAAATAATTATAATGGAAAATATTAGAATACAAAATTGAATTGCCTTTCACTAAAATATCTATGCTTATAAGATCCAACTAAAGGAGTACTTTACATCAGTTTGGAGAATACTTATCGTTTGTACTCTGTGCTTTTTTCTTTTTTCCTATAAAAAAGGTTTATGTATGTTTATTGGTAATGCTATGTATGTTTCAAGGTTTAATCAACACCTAAAGTGCTGTTATTTCATGCCAGGACCTCTCCATGTCTCAGTTTCTTCATATACAAAGAGGACTCCATTGGCAAACATATCATGGTGTTCTTCAGAAAATTAAATGTTACTCATGTCTGTCATTTGCTTGGCACACAGTAAATGCTCATAACTTGTGAGCTTTTTATTGTTTTAAAACTATATTTTTGGGACTTCCCTCGTGGTGCAGTGGTTAAGAATCCGCCTGCCAATGCAGGGGACATGGGTTTGAGCCCTGGTCCGGGAAGATCTCACATGCCAGGGAGCAACTAAGTCCATGTGCCACAACTACTGAGCCTGCGCTCTAGAGCCCGCGAGCCACAATTACTGAAGCCTGCACGCCTAGAGCCCGTGCTGCGCAACAAGAGAAGCCACCGCAATGAGAAGCCTGCGCACCGCAATGAAGAGTAGCCCCTGCTCGCTGCAACTAGAGGAAGCCCGTGCGCAGCAACGAAGACCCAATGCAGCCAAAAATAAATAAATAAACTACACTATTAACTGACAGTCACAAGCCTCCTATCATTACAGACACTAATCTACAAGCAACTACAAATTATCTAGATGCAACCTGTCTTTTTACAGAAAACTAACATCAGTAGGAAGCAGCTGAAGGAAGAATTCCCAAACCTACACAGAAACTAATCAAAGACGCCCTTAGCAAGGCTCTTTGGGTCTCTGGTGTTCCTGTTACCATCCTGTGGTTTTACACGTTTGAACAGACCGTATGCCTCCTCTCTGTACTCAATACGAACCTCTGGAGTCTAAGAATATCCCTTCCTACCTGTACCATGACCAAACACTTACAAGTGGGTTTCTGGATTATAAAATCTCTCATAAAAATACACTTAATCACTACAATATGATAACAGAATTACTGCTATTTGGTACCAAAATGTTTTTTGTTTTTCCCTTTTGAAGAGAGTGGAAGCTATGGAAAGTGAACAGCTACTTTAAGCCAAAGAAGAGAATTTGATTTTTAGGTATCAGAACATCCCAGCAAGAGACAGAAAAAGACGATCTCATTAGAACTGAGACTCTGTTTGGCAGGAGATGGCCATCAGGAGACACTATAGATCAATGGTTCTTAACCCTGGTGCTGCTGACGTCTGGGGCCAGCTAGTTCTCTATAGCGGGAGCTGTCCTGTGCATTGTAGGGTGTTTGGCAGCAACCCTGACCTCTGCTCCCTGAGGCCAGTGATGTGTGCCTCCCACATTGTGACGTGAAAAAAATGTCTCCAGACTTTGCCAAATAGCTCCTGGGGGGCAATACGGCTCTCAGTTGATAACCACTGCTGCACACTGATTCCAAACTCAATTTCCCAGCTGATGCGATGACTGGACAACGGCCAGGGTGCTAAATAGTGATCACCTCTCATATGCCAGGCCCCACACCAGACACCGAGTACAGAATTATTACCTAGACAGTCCCTGTCCTTGGGGAGCTTCGTAGTGAGACAGGCAAGCCACAGCCTCATCACCATGTGTGGGGTTAGGAAAGACAAGAGCAGGGCTCAGTAAAGGCTCCTTCTCAGGTAACATGGACCCTGTCTCTGAAAGTTGTAAAGCAATCAGTCACGTAGGAGGGTAGAGAAATTCCAGAGGTGAAAGTTCGAACTGGCTAAAAGCACCAAGGGGAGAAAGAGCTTGAAGTGTGGTGGAACGTGGCAGGAGTGGGGCTGGTGGGAGGATGGGGTGTGGGGCAGAAGGGGGTCAGGGTTCCACCACACAGGGTTCCACGGGGGGGTAACTTATCCATCACATGTTAGAAAAGGAGAGGCGGTGTGATTAATGGTGCCTGTTACATAGGGACCAGAGTTACTGCCACCACCAACACCAAGGCAACAAAAGAGAAGTTCTCAAAACGCAACCAGAAGGACTTTCCTTCCCATTTCCATTTTTCCAAAAAGACCGACAAGCCATGCACAGATTCCTTCCTTCACTTGTTCAATAATATCCCCCAGCAGCCAAGGAAAGCCCAGTTTGGAGAGATTTCAGATGAACACAATGGCTTTCTAAAGGCAGTCTGAAGTGAAGCAGGATTTGAGTATCCTTTACATTTTTCTCCAGTTATATTTTTATCAAATCAATTTAAAATTTTTTCTTTGACTGAAAAAACACAACTATGTAAACATTGTCTTCGAATTCTATTTCATAATAAACAACCAGTAGCAATGACAATACACAGGAAGTCCTGAGCACACTCGAGGGCTGCCTACTCCTGGAGCTGTGTATCTCGTCTGTTAATCTCTGGTTAGTAATATTGAGGGGTTTATTTAAGCTAAATTGTCTAGATTGTCCGCGGGTGGGCAGGGCTCACCTTCCAAACAAGCAGGTATGAAGGCTCAGTGGAAAGTGGGGGCCGTCGACCCCGCTCCTTTTAATGGTAACAAGGCGTCTTGTAGAACCCATTTTCTAAACAGGAATTTTGACTATAATCCGTACCGGAAGGTCAGGCATCAAAAGGTTTGCTGAAGCAGACTTACAAGCAATCCTTTGACTACACGCCACTGACAAAATAACAAAAATAAAGCACACAGGGGGTGAGGGTTATTCTAAAGCAAAGAGTAAGAAGTTACTTGTAAGTGACCAACTGGGGTCGCGTGTACTATTCACCGCTGCCCCTGCCGCCCCGACCCACGCCTTACCTGACCCCGGTGGAAGCCCCAGCCAGGCCCGGGGCTGCCCCCACCACCCAGCGCCCTCCAGAGACCTGCGTCCAGGACGCCGCCCGCCAGGCTCCTGGCTCCCGGGAGTTCCCACCGAGACCCCACGCCAGAGCCCAGGACGAGCCAGGCAGGCCAAGGCCGCGCTCCGGCGCTGGTGGCCGCATAGCCCCGAGTGGTCCACGCGGCCTCCGCCCCTCCGGCTGCCCCCGCCCCCGAAGGTCCCCGGCCGCGGCTCACCCAGGACGAGTCTCCCGGGGCGACACCAGTGGTTCCGCCGCTCGTCGGCGAGCAACCCGAGTCCGCACCGGGAGGGGCCGGCGACGCGCCCACCTCCGCTGCAGGGACCGGGCCTCAGTCCTCTGGCCCGCCCCCACCTTCGCCGTGGCCCCAGTCCCCGCTCCTCCCGCCTTCGCCCTCGCCGGTGGCCCGCTGACCCTGCCCAGAGACGTCCCGGAGGTGCCCGGCGTTAGCGGCTCTGGCGCGGAAAGCCGCCGCCGCGCCCTCCAGATTCAAACGATAACACCGATTCAAATTTGGCGCTAAGCGCTGCGATTGGGCGCAGGGGAGAGGAGGCAGACCAATGGGAAAGGAGAGGGCGGAGCAAGCGGGGACGGGGCTCCGCGGGGCGGGGCGGGGCGGGGCGGACGGGCTCGGCCGGGCTGGCTCCGGTGCATCCGCAGAAGACGGCCACCTGAGGGTCCTCAGCTTCCACGGCACCTACGGGTATGAAATGCAACAGGGTCCCTCCGCCGCGAAACCCTTCTTGCCTTCTTTTCTCTAAGGACCAAACACAATTGTACAGTTAACAGTGGTACATAATATGTTACTCATTGCTGGAAGGTTTACAATTTTTTAAAATTCCTATATCTCCCTAAAAATAACCAGTTGTTGTAAGCAGTTTCTCGTGTCTTTTCCCAGTTAACACATGCATTATTCTCTTATAAAAACGCACGAAGACTATCATAATATACACATTGTTCTGTACTTTGTATTCTCTGCTTCACAAACTCCGAGTATATTGAGTACGTCTTCCTCCTTTCTTTTTGATGACGGCAAAGTATTCGGCTTTAGAAACCATAATTTATTTAATCTCTGCTATTGCCATACATATAGGTTTACAATGGTTTCCTCTTAGAAAAAATTCTTTAATTAATAAACCTGCTGCACTACAAAATGGATGAATTGTAAAATAATTAGCCACAGGATTCCTCCACGTGAGTGATGGGACAGGGGGAGGGGAGAGCTTCTGCAGGCCCTCGTGGTACGAAGTGAACTGGGGATGTCCGCCGCCCTCCAGCTCACTCCACACCTTTGGAGCTTGACTTTCCTTGATCGGGAGCTGCTGTTCTGGGGACCCGAGGGTCTCTTTGATCCTTGCAAAACCACCTTTGTAATAACAGAGGTCCTTGCCCTTTTCACTCATTTCTCGTGTGTGTGGAGGGTCAAAACCACCTTTGTAATAACAGACGGTCCTTGCCCTTTTCACTCATTTCTCGTGTGTGTGGAGGGTGGCATTTCCCCTGTGCAGAGCAGATGTGAGAATCCAGCTGTCTTTTATTAAATCAGGTATCACAGAGATTTGCTGTGATACTTGATTTAGTAAAATATATATTTTATATAAAATATAAAATAACGCTGCTCTTTTCACTAATTTGTTTTGGATAATAGAGGTATTTTTCATTAAAAAAAGATGTTTCTATGTGAAACATGAAATGGGTTCATCATTGCTTTAAAATTAATTGATAAATGAAATTTTTAAAAATATTCAGTTAATAACCTACATAAACAAAAACTCTTAGTGGTCCTCAGTGCTTTTTAAGAGCGCAAAGGGACCCTGAGACCAAAAAGTTGGAGCCTTTCTATTCCTGAGATACAACGCAGAGATAGATTGCCTACAGCAATGTGAGAAAGCACCTAGAAAAACAACGTGAATGTGTAGAATTCCCAACTCCTAATCCTCTGTGACAAAGCTGATGTGGGTTGGGTAGTGTAGATGCCTGGATACTATTAACCTTCTGGGGGATTAGTTTCATTTCCTCACTTTTACACTATGGGAAAATAAAACTAAAATAAGATTAGAAAGGACGTGGGGTCCTTGATCCCTGGATTCCTTGAAAGGACATTGGATTCCATGATCTCTGTCCGGGAATGGCTTCACTTCAAGTTGGAGCACTGGCATATCCACAGGCAGATGACAGTGCAGGCCTCTGCCAGCATATCTAGATCCCCAAAAGATGCTGAGTGAAATCACTACTTCAAAGGGGAGCTGACATAGAAGGAAACAATTTTATTGGAGAAGGTTATGACCTCTAGGTGTATGATATGTGAGTAGTTGAACTAGATAGGTAATTGATAATCTCTTATAAAAGATTATTCCTTCCATTGTCAAAGGTTTGAGTAACTAACAATTTGAACCTTTCAATTCTGTGGTCTTCATAATTCTTGCACTCCCAGGGCCAGACGGTGCCCCTGGAGAGAATCTCACAGACCCTCGTTCCTGGAGGTGAGGGGTGTGTCATTATTGAAACTCCTGGAACCACTTTTCAGTATGTGGTTCTTGCAAAATGAAAGGAAAGATCTATGAGTTTAGGTTTAGATATTTGAGTTGCTTGAGAACAGAATTTCAATACTCTAATAATTAGTTCAGACAAGTTTCTATCCTATAGTAATTGTGTTATTTTTTTACTGTAATAAAATCTTTAGAGATGATCAATGATTATTTATATGTAGTTATTAGAAGATTATAGAATTCTAGGTGTATATCTATCATTGGGAAAGCCCTCATTACAGCCTTAACTAAAATTTTGCCTTTGAAACATTGGAAATTTCTGGGTAGGGAAAGGTAATTTTCCTTGAGATCGACTCTCTTTCTCTTTTGCCAGTTTTAAAAAAGTGTCCTTTACATATGTCCACTCATAAAGGAAGTTTCACTGTGCAATGTATTGAAGAGTTCGTGATTGGCAAGGCTGAAATATTTACTTTACAAATACAGTACACTGACAAGCAACCGAGTTTCCAGACTCAATGGTTCCCGCTGGGTGATAGACTCCAAATTGAGGAAGACAGGGACCCTAGGTACAAAGGTGAGAGAGGAACCATATACAAACCAGTGCATCAAGCAACCTGAAGAGAGTACAGGCCAACTTGGAACACTTATTGCTAAGAATAGAATAGGGACCCCTAGAAATTTGAAGCTAAAAAGTTATGAGTCCTAACCTCCTATACTAATACTGTAGGAAAACCCTGTCACCTAAGTAATAAAGAAATGAATTGCAATGGAATGTCCTAGACATTTATCATAACAAAAGAGAACAGTGAGGAGAATAATTTCCCTAGAGAACAAGGAAAGCATGACAGGAAGATATAGGTTTACAAAGAGGCCTTCAAGTATAGAGGCTACAGAAAACTTGTCTTAAACATCCTTACTTGGGGTGATCAAGCTTCAGATAACCCCAAACTGAAGATACCTTTAGTAAGTTTCAGTGTTGAATATTAAATATATACGTAAGTGCAGAACTAAGGCTACGTGATGGTTTTAAGCAAAAAAATATCTTTTGTAGAGGGTATAAGCTCCGACAATGTAGACGTAACACAACTAATAGCGAATGGGGTGGGGTAGAGGTGAGGGTATATGGAAAAGAAAATAAGCTCTCTGATTGCCTTCTAGGTATGAACTGGGAGTAAAAGAATATTACTTCAAATTAAATATTGTGTCGAGAAGGTTTTAGCTAATTATCAAGAAGGCTCATATTAAGACACCGGTGGGCTCAAAAAGAAGGGACAAAGATATTATCTAAAGCTGTCAGTGTAAGTGCAGCCATTAGACCATAACTACAAATACTCTGAAATATCTAAGCATACAGAAAAGAGACACAGAGAATACAGATAACATAGTGAAAGACTACATAGCTATATCAACATATATTTTAAAATATAACAAGATTGGTATCAAATACATCAATTGATTCAATAGCTTTAAGTGGCCTATTCAAACAAAAAGATTTAAATATTTCTGTAAACTGCTATGGAGTAATTGCCTCCAAATATTATCAAGTGCAAAAGATAAAGTGGGAAAAGTTGCACATAGCATATGCTGCGTTTAGCTAAAAAATGGGCTTATGAATATATATGCATATTTGCTCTTATTAAAATGAAACAATATACATATAGTTTACATATGTATATATACGTATATAATATATATATTATGATATACATAATATACATATAATGTTAAATACATATAATGTAAAAATGGAGGAGGGAGCACAGGGAGAAAAGCTAGATTTCCCTGAACTTTCCTTCTTTGATAGATTTGACTCTTGAATCATATTAATATTTATATAAATATAAAACCAATTGAATCAAAGATATAGAAAACCCTAAAGTAGAAATTAAAGTGAAACTAACATTCAGGCAGCAACAGAGCCGCACAAAGAGCAATACTTTGAAGTCATTTAAAACACAATAATTGAATGGTGCATCCCCTGAGAGCCATTCCCCAAGGATATAAATGAACTGAAAAATAATATCAAGCAGTTTTCAATAATTGCATTGGTGGTAATATTGATATCATTATTCTGAACTTATTATAATGGGAGAAAGCAAATAGGTAATTACGTGAGTATCACTAGAGAGTTTTTCAGCCTAAGAAAAAAGGCTATAAATATGAAATCAAACAGTGAAGTGTTCTGTGGGTACCCTGCAAAGAAGGGACCCTCCCCTCAAGTTTGATTTGTGTGTAGGGCCTGATGGTGCCGCCTCCGTCCTCCAGAGGGTGTGAAAGTTTCATGACTCAGATAACTGAGGTCTCCGGGGGAGCAGGGCAGGCCTCTCACCAGGTCTGAAATGGCTTGAGAGTGTGAGTAAAAGAACCTGGCTGGGGTTTTGCTGTGGTCAGGAGGCGGGGCCGGCATGAGCGTAAGCTGGTGGCGGGGGCTTGCTGGTTAGAAGCAGGGAGCATCTGGCCCTTCTTATCAGCTCACTCAGACGTGGGGTCAGGCCGGGGAGGCGGGGGAGGGGAGGGAGGCAAGGGATGAGGCTTCAAAGCTGTCAGCAGTCAAATATCAAAAAGCAGAGTTGGATTCCTTGTTACAGTAAGTAGATTTTGAATTGGGAATGGTAGTATGAATTCATGGTATATATTTCTTTTAAAATGTGAAAGAGAAGACATATTTCCTGATATATTCCCAGAAGGACCTAGAACTTACCCAATAGTCATGAGTGTCCTTACTTCCTAGATTGTGGTCTCTCAATACTGTTTCCTACTAAAAGAAAACTGAGTTTCCCGATAGAAATGGTAAATCCTGTATCAGGTGCAAGAACTGAGCAGGATAAGCCTGGAATGACTTGTCACACTCAAAAGCAAGGAAGGAGATGGGGCTTCCCTGGTGGCGCAGTGGTTAACAATCCGCCTGCCAATGCAGGGGACACGGGTTCGAGCCCTGGTC